TTGCCTGAACCCAGGAGGAGGAGGTAGCGGTGAGCCGAGATCGCGCCATTGCACTCCAGCCTGGGTAGCAAGAGTGAAACTCCGTCTCAAAAAAATCTAAAAAAAAAAAAAAAAAAAGAGCCAAAGAGAAAAGCAGCGTTTGTCAAGCAGTTAAAAACATTTTAAAATTAAAGTTTCCACAATGTGTCATGGAAACTATGATCAATTTCACATTGATATAATATTAAATTACTGCTAAGTTCCCACTTAGCCATGATCTTTAAAGCCAGCACTTTTTAAAAAAGCTATGAAATCAAACGGCAGAAAAATGACCAAAATTTTTTAGGTAAAGTTGCCAACTCTTGCAAAAATAAGTTTAAACATCTAGTACTGAATAAAATTACTATTTTACCTGAGCTTGCAGCCATGATATGAGCGTCTCCCTAATTAGTTGTTGTTGAACAGTGGTTAGTTCCGAATATCTGTTTAAAATAGAGAAGAAAAAGAATAATGGCTATATTTGGTGTCTATGGTTGTGAAGTAATACAGCCTCATATATTTGAAAGGGAAAATTTGTATAGCTCTCAATTATCTAAAGTTTCCTAACATAAACTGATAATGCCACTCATCATTGCCTTAAACATAAGGAAGAGAGTGGCAGGTAAGGTATCAATTTCAATCTTTGTCATTCTATTCATGTTAAATGACGGCTACCTAATTTTTTGAAAGAAAATATATCCATGTTTTACTGGTCTACAGAATAAACCAATAGGTGAACTAGGAATCCTCTCAGTAGTGAATTGTTATTTTGCTTAATTAGTAAGTCAGATTCTGAACACAAGTGCCCATTCAGCATTTAACTGTAACAGAGAGTTGTCATGCAGAAAAACAGGCCTTGTGTTCCCAGATATTGACTTTTCCAGAAAAGCTGGAAATCTAGATTTTTCTGTGAAATGTCTGCATTTTCATTTTTATTTTTTGAGACAGGGTCTTGTTGTGTTGCCCAGGCTCAAGTCCAGTGGCTTGATCCCAGCTTGTTGCAACCTCCACCTCCTGGGTTCAAGCAATTCTTTTACCTAAGCCTTCTGAGTAGCTGGAATTACAGGTATTTACCACCACATCTAGCTAATTTTTGTATTTTTAGCACAGATGGGGTTTCACCATATTGGCTAGGCTGGTCTCGAACTCCTGACTCAAGTGATCCACCTGCCTTGGCCTCCCAATACGCTGGGATTACAGGCGTAAGCCACCGCATGTGGCCAACTCAGCACTTTTAAAATACTTTGGGATACATCAAAATATATCTATAACCTGATTATAACATATATACTGTCAATTTACAATCTGTATTATAGTTTCCTTCAAGAAAAAACCTTAAATTAAAAAAATGACCTTTCCCCACAAATCTCGGAGTCAAAACAGTGAGAAACGCCTTACTTGTATTTAACTTGATGTTCCAGTACTTGAAAGCAGAAAAACTTTACATGATCATCACTAAAAAAGACAAAAAGAAAATGAGATAAGCAGAATATGAACTGAGGAAAAAAAAAATCAAAGGCAAAATAGTAATGAATAAAACAGCAGAAAAGTTTCTCAAACTAGACTTTTGGCTTGTTTCATGCTTACTGGTCTCAAATATGACAAGCAAAATAACCAAAATATTAAGATGCACCTTGAACACAGTGCTTTGTAAGCAGCAAAGCATCCCCCTAAATTCCAGATATTAAGATTCCTGGAACAACCCTTTCATTTTACAATAACAGGTTAGGTATAAAATGACAAATGGCAGAACAGCCAGAGTCTGAGTGAAAGTAGAGATGGTCATCCAAGTCCTACTTAAAATTCAACCCTAGTAGTTCTATTGTAGCCAAATCCAAAACAAGCAGGGCCATATGGACTGTCAGTCCAGCTTCAAAGTTTCATCCAGGAAACTAAATTACAAATATGGTACTCTTGCTTATAAGATGGGGGCAAAAATTAACATCCACCAATTATCCACTTCCAACCGTCTTTCCAGGGGAAAGGCAGAGTTGCAGTAAGCCAGCTATAAGCACTGACAAAGGTCCTTTAGAGACCAACAATCTGCCAATCAAATGAGTAT